CGGATTTCACAGGTAGAGAGAGTGGTGAGGTGAATGAACAGGCTAGCCCTAGAATGACTTGCAATGTTTTGATTGTGATACAGGAGGAAAGCAGCAGGCACTGATGTCGTAAGATGTATAATTATGTATGTATAGTTATGTGTGTCATGGCTGTAATGAAGAATATAGGCTTCTGTTAGAAGATATGATAACTACTGGAAGACCGGCACAGCACATGATGGTGATGGTCATGATAAAAGAGCAGTTGTTTGCAGGGTAGAATAAGATTTCTGATGTTGTGTTCATGTTGATATGCTTAGGACTGTGAACCTAATGTGTTGTTTGAATATATTTAACAGGTGACATGACAATTTCTGTCATGGTTTGAATATATTTAACAGGTGACATGACAATTTCTGTCATGGTTTGAATATATTTAACAGGTGACATGACAATTTCTGTCATGGTTTGAATATATTTAACAGGTGACATGACAGTTTCTGTCATGGTTTGAATATATTTAACAGGTGACATGACAGTTTCTGTCATGGTTGTTCTGGGTAGGCAAATAGGATAGATGGTAGTCAGTATTTGGCATTAGAGTAGATGGCTAGATTGTAGTCGTTATTTGGCTTATTATTTGTAGAGCAATGAAGGAGATTTGATGAGTCACTTGCTAGTTTATCGTTGAGTAGAGTTGATTCTGCTGTCAGTTGCTGAGTTTTATAGTGTGAGGACGTTCTGTTTATAACAGTGTAACATCTTTTGCATCAAGGTCATCTTGGTTGTGTAATACGAGATATACGACTTTGTAATTCTGTTGCTTAACAAACATGATTGTTAGTTGTTATTCTTTTATTTAGTCGTTAGTTTGTTGAGTATAAGAGTGGTACTATTATTGCTATAGTCTTTATACCACCACCACTTCACTACTACTCTCTTTCATTCCTCCACTGACTATTACCTGATCGTTTGGGGTGTAAACTTATTACTACACTCTCCACACAGGAGAACCTATTGTCCTCTTATACATCCTTTAACTATTATTTCTTCTCGTCTGTCTCTCTCTCTACTTTTATATCTTCTTCTCTCTATACCCCCTTCAAAATGTACCCTGTTACACTATGACTACAAAATTACAAGCAAACTTGAGTATTTTATAAACTTCGTTTTGTGTGAAGATACTAACTGTTTTGGGAAGTCAGTTCTCTTAATTAAATAATAGTGCTCTTTTGTGATGCTCCAAAAGCTTCTCTAGGGCAAGATCTAATGTACAGACCGAGTTTATATTTTACTTATAGATTACCAAGTGGTTCTTGTTCATTTGTGATTCATGTTGTATACATTTTACCTATACATTACTAAGTGGTTCTTGTTCATTTGTGATTCATGTTGTATACATTTTACCTATACATTACTAAGTGGTTCTTGTTCATTTGTGATTCATGTTGTATATATTTTATCGAGTTCTTCTTCAGCTCTGTGGTGGTAAGTGGAAAAATTATTATTTCATTTTACTAATTTCTCTAAACATGTCATCTGTTTATTTACTAACATATAAGTACTAACATATAAGTACTAACATATTAGTACTAACATATAAGTACTAACATATAAGTACTAACAAATAAGTACTAACATATAAGTACTAACATATAAGTACTAACATATAAGTACTAACATATAAGTACTAACATATAAGTACTAACATATAAGTACTAACATATAAGTACTAACATATAAGTACTAACATATAAGTACTAACATATAAGTACTAACATAATTATTTTCTGAAACAGTATTCTAATAGTATTAGAGGATTTCATGGTTACTGACTGAGTGCAGCAGTAGCTGGTGCCACAGAATATCATGGTTACTGACTGAGTGCAGCAGTAGCTGGTGCCACAGACTATCATGGTTACTGACTGAGTGCAGCAGTAGCTGGTGCCACAGACTATCATGGTTACTGACTGAGTGCAGCAGTAGCTGGTGCCACAGACTATCATGGTTACTGACTGAGTGCAGCAGTAGCTGGTGCCACAGAATCTGAAGCTACTGGTTACTGATTATCTGCCGCATGATCTTGGGTTATTAATAATGTGCAACAGAATCTTACCATTACTATTTACCTGCAATAACATCTAATGGTTACTGATTATGTGCAAGATAATGTTATGGTCACTGATTATGTGCCAAGTAACAAACTGTTACGGATTATGTGCCAGATAACATAACTGTTACTGATTATGTGCCAGTTAATGTAACTGTTACTGATTTAGTGTCAGACGACGTAACTGTTACTGATTATGTGCGATAAGATTTAATGGTTACTAATCACAAGAAGACATCAGAGCTCACCTTGTTCTTGCCAGCTGGTCTCCACTTCTTTCTGACCTTCCAGCGCTTGTTTCTCCAGGTCGTGTCGCTTCTTCTGTAAGTTGGTGAATATCTCACTGCTGCGTTTGTCTCGGATGCTGTTGGCCACGTCTCGGGACCGCCTTCGAGCCTGTTTCTCTTCCTCCTGTACAGGTGTGCCAGAAGAAATATTTCATCACAACTTTCTAGTTATATATGACTTTATTACCAGTCACAGAAGCAGCTGCACATGTTAACTGTGCAGTTTTGAGTTCAACTCTCTTTCAAGATTATACTTCAATCATCTAATACATCATGACAGAGCTTCAAATGATAATCTTACAAGTATGACAGAACTAAAAATAACCTTGCCATGGTTGTGTAACCTATCAATACTGTTGTTAAGGATGTCAAGAGTGTTAGGTGCATGATTTCATAGTGACATCAAGTTTAAAACTTTTGACATGCGCCAAAGAGCAAGGTAGAATCTGTTATCCATTCGTTTATTCAGTAAAGAGGTGAAACCTGCAGATATTCATTGATGAAACAGAGTCCAGTATGGTAGTACATGCCTGTCAGTCCTACAATCAAGATTTTCTTGTGTAAGGCCTGTCAGTCCTACAATCATTTTTATGTAAAAGGCCTGTCAATCCTACAATCAATGTTTTCATGTATCAGGCCTGTCAGTCCTACAATCAATGTTTTCATGTATCAGGCCTGTCAGTCCTACAATCAAGATGTTCATTTATATATCAGGCCTTTCAGTCCTACAATCAGTGAACTGATTAAACACTATTTAAAAACGTTCAACTCCACCAAACACTTACTGCACTGAAAGCCCTGTAGCCCCACACTGAACCTCCATTTGCCCATACATTTCTAAAGGTTTTACGCCTTCACTGATCCACACAAAAACACCAGACACTAGAATGCTCCTTATCTTGGGTGTATGTCAAAAGTGGGGTGGCCATCTTAAAACTGTCAGTATGAGGTTACTGTGTCCATGTGATGTGGTGTCACTTGACACCCTGAACAACAATACTGTCAGTATGAGGTCACCGTGTCCATGTGACGTGTCACTAAACAACAATACTGACAGTATGAGGCCACCGTGTCCATGTGACGTGGTGTCACTAAACAACAATACTGACAGTATGAGGTCACTGTGTCCATGTGATGTGGTACCACTAAATAACAATACTGACAGTATGAGGTCACCGTGTCCATGTGACATGGTGTCACTAAACAACAATACTGACAGTATGAGGTCACCGTGTCCATGTGACATGGTGTCACTAAACAAAAATACTGACAGTATGAGGTCACTGTGTCCATGTGATGTGGTACCACTAAATAACAATACTGACAGTATGAGGTCACCGTGTCCATGTGACGTGGTGTCACTAAACAACAATACTGACAGTATGAGGTCACCGTGTCCATGTGACATGGTGTCACTAAACAACAATACTGACAGTATGAGGTCACTGTGTCTGTGTGACATGGTGTCACTAAACAAAAATACTGACAGTATGAGGTCACTGTGTCCATGTGATGTGGTACCACTAAATAACAATACTGACAGTATGAGGTCACTGTGTCCATGTGACGTGGTGTCACTAAACAACAATACTGACAGTATGAGGTCACTGTGTCCATGTGATGTGGTACCACTAAATAACAATACTGACAGTATGAGGTCACTGTGTCCATGTGACATGGTGTCACTAAACAACAATACTGACAGTATGAGGTCACTGTGTCCATGTGATGTGGTACCACTAAATAACAATACTGACAGTATGAGGTCACCGTGTCCATGTGACATGGTGTCACTAAACAACAATACTGACAGTATGAGGTCACTGTGTCCATGTAACATGGTGTCACTAAACAACAATACTGACAGTATGAGGTCACTGTGTCCATGTGATGTGGTACCACTAAATAACAATACTGACAGTATGAGGTCACTGTGTCCATGTGACATGGTGTCACTAGACAACAATACTGTCAGTATGAGGTCACCGTGTCCAGGTGACATAGTGTCACTAAACAACATTAATGACAGTGTGAGGTCACCGTGTCCATGTAACATGGTGTCACTAAACAACAATACTGACAGTATGACCTCACTGTGTCCCTGTGACCTGGTGTCACTTGACACCCTAAACAACAATACTGTCAGTATGAGATCACCATGTCCATGTGATGTGGTGTCACTAAACAACAATAATGACAGTATGAGGTCACCGTGTCTGTGTGACATGGTGTCACTAAACAAAAATACTGACAGTATGAGGTCACCGTGTCCATGTGACATGGTGTCACTAAAAAACAATACTGACAGTATGAGGTCACCGTGTCCATGTGACATGGGGTCACTAAACAACAATACTGACAGTATGAGGTCACCGTGTCCATGTGACATGGTGTCACTAAACAACAATACTGACAGTATGAGGTCACCGTGTCCATGTGATGTGGTACCACTAAACAACAATACTGACAGTATGAGGTCACCGTGTCCATGTGACGTGGTGTCACTAAACAACAATACTGACAGTATGAGGTCACCGTGTCCATGTGATGTGGTGTCACTAAATAACAATACTGACAGTATGAGGTCACCGTGTCCATGTGATGTGGTGTCACTAAACAACAATACTGACAGTATGAGGTCACTGTGTCCATGTGATGTGGTACCACTAAATAACAATACTGACAGTATGAGGTCACCGTGTCCATGTGACGTGGTGTCACTAAACAACAATACTGTCAGTATGAGGTCACTGTGTCCATGTGACATGGTGTCACTAAACAACAATACTGACAGTATGAGGTCACCGTGTCTGTGTGACATGGTGTCACTAAACAACAATACTGACAGTATGAGGTCACCGTGTCCATGTGATGTGGTGTCACTTGACACCCTAAACAACAATACTGACAGTATGAGGTCACTGTGTCCATGTGACATGGTGTCACTAAACAACAATACTGACAGTATGAGGTCACCGTGTCCATGTGACATGGTGTCACTAAACAACAATACTGACAGTATGAGGTCACTGTGTCCATGTGATGTGGTACCACTAAATAACAATACTGACAGTATGAGGTCACCGTGTCCATGTGACGTGGTGTCACTAAACAACAATACTGACAGTATGAGGTCACCGTGTCCATGTGACATGGTGTCACTAAACAACAATACTGACAGTATGAGGTCACTGTGTCCATGTGACATGGTGTCACTAAACAACAATACTGACAGTATGAGGTCACCGTGTCCATGTGACGTGGTGTCACTAAACAACAATACTGACAGTATGAGGTCACCGTGTCCATGTGACGTTGTGTCACTAAACAACAATACTGACAGTATGAGGTCACTGTGTCCATGTGACGTGGTGTCACTAAACAACAATACTGACAGTTAGGAGACTTAGGCATGGTTGTTATCACACTTTTCAGGTTTTTATTTGAAATCCCCTTACAGAGACCGGGGCATGTGCACAGAAGTCATAGCTGATGCAAAATTCACCAGATCACACACAGTGTAAACTAGGACCATCATCTACACCTTCTGGGTATATAGGGCTAGACCTAAATTTTATAGACAATCAGAACTTTGGGTCTGATGTGGTCAGCATAATGCCAGTTGCCTTTACTTCCCAGAACTTTACCTGGTACCCACTAAAATCCTGAGTTGACCTGGGAGCCAAGATCATTTTTGAGAAAAGCCTGGATCCATCAGAATCTGACCTCATGACCTTCTGATCTGCAGATGTGTATCCAGCTGCTACATCACGGTGGCTCCCTCACACAGTGTACCCAACAATGCTTGGTTAGCACCATATACCCTGGCCTCAGTTTTTAAAACTGCCTGTTTATGTTGTCACTGTCTTCACTAATCACCCTCATACCACTCTATCACCCCCCTAAGGAAGCAATCCAGTGAACATCACTACAGGTTGGAATGCTACTAGGTTCCAATCCATTGTCCTGCTTCATAAACCTGTTGCATGTTATCATTCAAGTTCCTTGTGACACAAGAAAGTCATGACAACAAAGTAATTAAATCATCTTCAGAGAACTAGTCACCACTAACATGCGGTCACCACTAACATGCGGTCACCACTAACATGCGGTCACCACTAACATGTCATCACCACTAACATACTGTCACCACTAACATACTGTCACCACTAACATACTGTCACCACTAACATACTGTCATCACTAACATACTGTCACCACTAACATCCTGTCACCACTAACATACTGTCACCACTAACATACTGTCACCACTAACTTACTGTCACCACTAACATGCTGTCACCACTAACATACTGTCACCACTAACATACTGTCACCACTAACATGCTGTCACCACTAACATGCTGTCACCACTAACATACTGTCACCACTAACTTACTGTCACCACTAACTTACTGTCACCACTAACATACTGTCACCACTAACATACTTTCACCACTAACATACTGTCACCACTAACTTACTGTCACCATGAACATACTGTCACCACTAACATACTGTCACCACTAACATACTGTCACCACTAACAGCCTGTCACCACTAACAGCCTGTCACCACTAACATCCTGTCAAAACTAACATGCTGTCACCACTAACATGCTGTCACCACTAACATACTGTCCCCACTAACATACTGTCACAACTAACTTACTGTCACCACTAACATACTGTCACCACAAACATGCTGTCACCACTAACATGCTGTCACCACTAAGATACTGTCACAACTAACTTACCGTCACCACTAACATACTGTCATCACTAACATACTGTCCCCACTAACATGCTGTCCCATTAGTCTACGCTTACATGATACGGGCACCATGCAACATCCATCCTTACATTCACCGACACAATAATTTACACGGTTCACAACACATCACCGTTACATTTGCAATCTGACATGAAATGATACACGGTTCACAACACATCACCATTACATTTGTAGACTGAAATGAAATGTGACACTGTTCACTTCACATTTACATTTGCAGACATGAAATGTGACACTGTTCACAAAACATCACCATTACATTTGCAGGCTGACATGAAATGTCACACCATTCACAACACATCACCATTACATTTGCAGACTGACATGAAA